TCTACACACTTGTTTCATCGACACAATCTCGATAAAATAAATAAAAATCAACAAGCGTCCCTCGTTTCCGGCATAATTCATCAAATCGCTTATTGACGACGGATCTCACGAAAGTTTCGTACCGCCGTCTATTGACGACAGCCATAGTTAAAGGGTAAATAGAATTTAGTGTCGTTTTTAAAAAAAATAATCTGAAAAACATATATTTGCTTCGACTAGTACTGCCACTAAGAAAATGTGTAAAGGGTTAACCCTTTGTAGACGAATGTCGACATTTCGGCGAGATGAAATTTTCGTATTTGGAATACTAGGTTGCAAACGAATGATTTAATTACTTGAATAGCAACTGATCAGTGTACAGTTTCCTTTTCTTCTATTGTTTATGCATTTGATGTGTAATTTAGCTTCATATGTTACAAGCTTAGTATACTTTAAACAGTCTCCGTCCGCAAAGGGTTAATTTTATATTCCTTTTGTTTCTGTGTCCACTAAGAATTTAAAAACAGCTTATCATCTAATTTGCTTATCTCTACTTTGTAGCCAGTTATTTGGCTAGTTACTGTAAGAAAAATGCCGGTATGGTTAGTGTTAAAGATATGGGATATACGAATGAACGAATTGGTAGCTGGGTTCCCCCATAAAACTCGGAATCTTCGAAAATTGCTTCGAAACATTGTAACGTCTCGTTAGATTTCAGACAAACAAGGAGTGCCGAATACTATTAAGCTTCCCGTCATGGTGTACGTGTACGGCGGGAAATACCTTTTTGGGAGCAGCAACAGCACTGAATTATCTCCCGAGTACTTGATGGATCAGAATGTCATTTTGGTCACGGTCAATTACCGAGTGAACATTATGGGTAACGGTTTTTACGTTAACACGTGCATTTATTCGTGGACGAGTTGCCTGTTCTAGTGGGAAAAAAGTCACTAGGAAGCTGATACAAAAATGTTTAATCGAAGTATTTATAACAGTCGTTACCTGATAAGTAAAATTATGTATCTCCATACAAATAGAAATTTGCATGTAGCAGTTCGAAGGAAGTATAATCGAAGGAAAATTACAATATTCCCTTGAAAATTCTATTAGCCTTTAAATATGTCAAAATCTTAGAATTGATTAAATTCCTATTTCATCTTTGAAGAATTATAATTCACGAGTAGCAATGATTGCATCTTCAAATTATCTATTACTTTCAATACTATATAACATTATTGATAATCTTCAAAGAGACAAAGTTCTTCAATCAAACAACTCATGTTTATTACGTTCGAGGCATCCCAAACAAATTCGAACTCTCGATTGTACTGTTCTCTTTCAATATTCAAACTTCTACGCGCTAGTAAAGATAACTTGTACTACCAAAATCGCAATCTTCGAATCTACCAGGGTTCTTCAGCATGGAGAACAAGATCGCGCCAGGCAATTACGGATTGAAGGATGTCGTAATGGCGTTGCGATGGGTGCAAGAGAACATCGACGTCTTCCAGGGTGATCCGAAGTCGGTGACCTTATGGGGTGAGAGTGCTGGAGCTTCCGTGACCCATGTGTTGGCTTACAGTCGAAAAACCGAAGGACTGTTCCACCGGTGCATCATACAAAGCGGATGTTTCTTCAACACATGGTCCCTGAATCGCAAAGGATGGATGCGGCAGACATCGATAGAAACGGCCCGGCTGCTAAAATGTCTGCCTTGTAACAATAATGTTACGAGTACGATGAAATATCTGCCAAAATCAAATGAAACGAATGAACCGGAATACAGTGAAGTGATTCATGATGAGTTGAGTGAAAAAGAAGAGCACAAGATTTTGAGGTGCATGAGAACTAAGAGCGCGGAGGATATCGTCAAAATCTTACCACATTTCGTAAGATTAATTTATTTTTAATTAAGTCTGAGAAGTCTTTCGAATGTTTTGAGGAAGTTGAGATTGGTGATTGTTAGCGAATTCAAGTTTGTTTAAGTATTCTGTTTGGGGCAGGACGTTTAGATGTTTGATTCTGGGGGAATCATTGTTTTAACTTTTAATTCCTTGAAGTATGAACAGAGTTTTGGAATTAAAGTATGTTAGTGACAAAGTCTTCTGAATTATTTGAGGAAGTTAAATTGGCGATTGTTATTACATTCAAATTTGTTTAAATATTCTACTTAGGAAAGAAAATTTAAATGTTTAATTACAAGGGTATTATTTTGAGGATTTCAAGAGATTCTAATTCCAAATTTACAAACACTGTTTAAACTCCGAATTGCCTTTTTAGACATTGAATAATATTTTAGTTAGCCCTGGTGTTATCTTCTGTTATCCTGTTTGACGATTATTTTCACGAAACAGGATATTTGGAGGACTAATCCTTGCTGTCCTTTCGGGCCAGTTATTGAAGAGGAGTCAGAAGATGCTATTATAACCAGCGATCCCTACACACTTGTACGCAAGCGCCTGTTCAGAGATATACCAATGATACTTGGTATTACCAGGGATGAAGGGCTAGGAAAAACTATGGGTAACTTTCCGTACGCATCGAACTGAGGACTGTCATTTGTTTCCAAATTAAATATTCGAATTAAAACAACTGTGCAGATTTCGTCAACGAGCTAGGAGAACTGATTAACAATTTGGATGAATATTTACCACTCACACTCGAGTACCATCAAATTCTGCGCAACAGGTCTGCGTTCAACAAGGCTGTCGAAGAATTTTACTGGCAATCGAATGACACTGAGGCAGTCTGGAAGGGTATTACAAATGTAAATCCTTTCTTCTTTTTCTTTCAATTCTTCTCTTTCCTTCGATCTTCAAATTTATAAAATCAGAAATTTAAATACTTTCTATTTTTCCCTTGGGTGGATGGAATCTTTGAAATCAACCAAAGACTACATCCTTATCATCTTATTATTTTAATATGTTAAAGTTGTCAAAACTTTCTCAATATTAAATCCATCCTATTAATACCATCTTATTAAAAAGATAAATTTAAGAACAGTTCCCTTTACATTGAATAATTAAAATCTTCACCACGAGTCTGACAGTTATTATAAGACAAGGGGTTGAAACAAATATTTTATCCATCGTCAAATGTTCTCTTCCATTAAAAACCAACGAAGGCACTTCCAGTCTGACAGTAATGCTCTCTTAAGTTCCACGAAATCTGCTCGGTTAAATTCCACTGCACCATCCCTACTCTTCGTCCACTACTCACTGTCTCGAGCTCGATATAACATGATCCCAGTAGACAGGGACAGAAAATGAATACAATGGGCAGAAACGGGATATACGCGGTCAAATATAAACATACAATAAAAAAAATGCAATTGCAATAATTTTAACCTTACCTTTTCAATCCTATTACCGATGGAACGTCGAGATTCTTCCCATTAAAATGAGTCCAAACACGACGTAAATCGGTCCAGTTTTATCGATTCCATGGAAACGGACCTTTAATTCCGTTAATTACATTAACTCAGTAAAACTAGTCCGATCCCCATCGTGTTTGGGCTCATTTTAATCGCAGCAATCTCAGAAATCCACTGGCACTACATTTGAGAAGATAAAGTTAAAATGATTGCAACTGAAATGTTCTTCATTGAATGTTTCCATTTAACGCGAGCACCCTCGCTTTGAAGTCCCGTATCTCGACCCTCGATTTTTAACAACTACGCCTACCTCGCTCCCAATCACTACATCGATGCCCTACCTTTGTCGGGCAGTGCTCGAGTCAATTCCTGGAAGCAAATAGCTTCCTCCTGTTTGTCCTGCTCGATTAAATTCCACCGTTGGGACCCAAAATCGTGAAATTTAAGCGAGCATTACGTGCCGTGCAGGCAACGGGCGACGCGGCGATAGTATATCCGATGTATCAAACACTGACCTACCAATCGGCCGTCATGAATTCGAGCCTCTACTTTTACTACTTCGACTACGAAGGCACGTTCACATCGACGTTCGGCTGGGGCACGCCGATACGTTACGGTGAGTGAAATTGATTGCTTGCCATTATACTTCGAGATACCGACTCATTTATCATCCCGGCGAATTTCGACGGATAGAACATTCTTAATTAATATTTAATAGATTGCCTTTTCGTCCGGTCAGCTCGCCACCTCCGCAGACGTTTTAATTAGTTCCCGAAACTGCGTAAATATTGCCTCGGATTTAATTGAGGTGTCGGCCGGCGAAAATAATCCCGATAGTTCACCGCGTTTCATTCTCTTAACCGTTCGAGTCCCACCAGTTTTTCCAGAAGCCCGATCGAAAAATGTCAAGCGGCGTGATCGCTTCTTTCGTTTCAATTCAGAAACTGAATTACGCTTGTCTATTTTTGGAAAAACAAATTTTAAACAGTGCGATCGTTACATTTTTCCAGTTCTAAGCGGGTAATAATAGAAATAGAAACGAATAATTTGAAGGAAAAGAAATAAGTAAGCTTCATCTGATTCGACCGATAGACTGACACTTTTAGGCAGTGTGTCATTAGTGACTGATGCTTCTGAATGACTAGAAAACAATCGTGACATACAAGACAACCGATGTGAAATGAAAATGTTTAGTAACGTAACTAAGTTGATAATAGTATAATGCAAACGTTGTAACGTCAAATAATTAATAATTGTACCTGCTTTTCTTTGCTACAAAAAAAGCTTTACGGAAAAACGCTTAAGATTTAAGCTTTAACGTGTTAAACCGTCGCCGTCCATTGTCTTCGGTAAATATGGAAAAATGTTGCGCAGGAGTCGCTCACGGTGACGACCTAAACTACTTGATGCCGCTGTGGAACAAAGAGTTCAGCAATTTCATGTTGCACAACAACGAATCCGACATCACTATGATCAACATTATGACCGAGATGTGGGCCAGTTTCGCGACCACAGGGTAAACATTGATATTTCATGATCAACCCCTTCATTCAGTAAACACATTCCGCACTGGTAACCAGAGATCCCGTTTTTATATAAACACTTAGCTATGAAACTTTGCTAATTACCGCAGCATTTAACACTAAAACTACTGGACAGGTCAATTTGACCCACTTCAGAATGTTGATTCTACAGGTACTTAAATGGTGAAGGCGTTTTGCGAAAGATTTTCAATTAAAATCATGTATTTGCAGAGATACAAAGCTACGAGGCTCTTCGAATCTCAAGAAACATGTCCTAATTTTTATAAACAGTTGGAAATAAGTCACTCTGATTACTCGGTAGTTTTAGTGTTAAAAGAATATTAAATTTGATTCGAATTGATTATCTATTTAAAATATATTACATAACAATGTATTTGAGTGTCTCTATATATAGTGATACAAGTTCATCTCACTGAAAATCGTTATCCACAATTCAGTTCTTTGAAAATTACCCGGTACGCAATGTGTTAATTTTATCGTTAATCTATTCGATCTACTACTATCTCATTTCCAATGAACCCCTTAACCCCTTGGCCTATGATTTCTTTCTACTTTCTTTTTGCCACTTTGTTATTAATAATTTATTGGAAAAAGAGAAAAATTCTAAGCATACGTTATGCCTATATTTCCTTTTAAGTATAATAATTGATTACAGGGGAATAATATTTACTTTGAATTCGAATGAACTGAATAATACATACATTTGTTGATTCATGTAGAAAATCTTCACCACGAGTCTCACTCGTTGTTGTAGGGCAAGGGGTTAAGACACTTTCTCACCTAAAATCCAAGCTCCCAAACAGATAATTTGATTGCTTGAATAATTCCTCTTTCTGGGTACTTAATCATTCGACGTATAATTTATTTTCTATAAAAACTGAATTCCTAGTACTCTCTTTTGCTTCATCTCTATTATTCCCATAAACCACTGCTTCATTTCCTTAAAACATTCGTGTATTGACACCAACAGAGTCCCACGCGCTTGGAGAGTGACTCCTTGGCCAGACTACAGAGATGCCCACCAGTTCCTTCAAATCGGAGTAGGAAAGGAGCCGGATATCGTCGTGACAAGTGACTTCCTATCGGAAAGAATGAGATTCTGGGACGAAGTGATAGCGAACTTCACGGTCCTGGCACCGTATCTCTTAGACAGCGAAGAACTGCCAGCAGTAGTAGAAGAGCAACGAAATTCCGGGACACTGAGGAATCCCAATACCGCGATAATTCTCTTGTTAATACTGTTGCCACTCGTATTTCGTAAGTAATCAAAGATTGATACCGTATTTTACCAGTAAACAACCGATGATCGCTTTGCGCAGCAATTATCAGTTGTTTATTGGGAAAATACGCTGAAAATCTACCCGTTGATCATTTATTCAATACGACTCGCGTGTCTTTCGCTTGCCCAGCTCGCCTCCGGTGGGACCAACGATGTATACCCTATTTTTCTGATAAATAATATTAATAATTGCTGCGCGAAGCGATTATCGGTTGTTTATCGGGAAAATATGGTATAAATCTTTGGTTACTTACGAAAGACGTGCTGGCCAGACGAAAGACGCACGGCTCGTGTTGAATAAGTGAACAGCGGGTAGATTATCAGCGGCGGGATCTCCCAGAGGGCTGTCCCCCGTGTTCTAATAAGACGGAGCTAATAAACGAAAAGCATAATGGAATCCGCTGGAAATTAAGTTCACCGTGTGGGAGAGTTAACGCGTGCATAAAATATGCAGCCGGCCAGCTACCGAGTGGGCCGTCGCGCTGGGGGAAATTAATCATCCGGCCTGGGTAGCCAGTGTTTGTCTTCTTCCCGTTTCCGGCTGCGTATCGCGCCGAGGAAAGAAGCTGCCGCAGAGAAATCTCGGCCCAAGATGCAATGACTATGCAACGAGGACGAATTGAAGGGAAAGGCTACCGTTTTCTTACGTGCATCTGGCTTGGCTGAAAAGGATTCGCTGGGGAAGATGATGACTCTGGGGTTTGTGTATTATTTCATCTGCCTTGGTTTTATCTAGCATGGATTTAGATAATTTGAACGTTTAGTTGCTGAACATGTATCTAAGCTAAAGTTGTGTAACTTGCATCTGTTACTACTACTTACTGAGTGTTTCATTTGCCTTTGTTCAGCTTAGAATGCTGCTAATTTTATTTTGATTTATTTGGGCTTGTTTGAGTTAGGGTCCATCTAACTTGGATCTATTTAACTTGGGACTCTACTAATTTTGTTTTGATTAACTTCGGCCTGTATAACTTAAAGTCCATCTGACTTGGATTCCTCTAACTTAGGACTCTACTAATTTGGTTTTAATTGACTTGGACGTGTCTAAGTTAGGGTCCATCTAATTTGGATTCATCTAACTTAGGACCTATTTAACATAGGATTCACCTAATTTATGATTCATCTAATCTAAGACTCGTCTAATTTAGAATTCATTTAACTTTGAATCTACCTAATTCAGAAACCGTCTAATTTGGACTTGCCTAACTTAGGAACCACCTAATTTGGATTATTCTAATTTAGTAACCACCCAGTTTGGATTATTCTAACTTAGCAACCACCTAATTTGGATTATTCCAACTAATTTATGATCCATATAATTTACTACCCACCCAACTCAGTATCAACCTACTTGGATCCACATAGTTGCGACCCAACTCAAATCTCATTGAGACCGACAGAATAAATTGCTCCCCACGCATCTAGTAATTAAACGTCGGCCGGATAACCGTTCGATGAAAGGCGAGTGCTCCGTTATCGAAACGTTCTCGCAGTATTACGTTTCCGATGAAAAGAAGAGCAACTTATCCCCCGGCGTTCCGACGATCGCCATTGTTTTGCGAGACGTTTCATTCAACGCCTTCGCCGAGAAAATGATTAATAACGGAACAAAGGCGGGAACCACGATCCGCTTTAAACGATGCACCGCGTTCGCTGTTCGCCAGACTTCGGGAAGTATAACGTTGCTTCCTCATTCGAAAATTGATAGAAATTAGAAGGAACGCTCGAGGGAAGACAACGTTCTATATTAATTTAGTTTGAGCTACCTCAGAAACAAAATTCGAATTATATTTCATTATATTTAATATTTTCCATGGATTTTCTTTGATTGCGTTCTCTTCCCAATAAACTTCTTACCCACTTCATTCTACAATTCATCTCGTAAAATTTTCCTCTCGCGTTTTTAATACTTTTCATATCCTTTATGCTTTCCGTCCATTGTCTGACCTGCTACAATCTCGTTCTACCGCGTTCCTGGTCGATTCCATTGTATGACTTATTTTTTAGTATTTTTTCCCTTTAGTTACAATATTTCTCGTGTCTTTCATGCTTCCCTTCCATTGTCCGGCCTAATACATTCTCTTTCCGCTAAATTCCCCGTTCGTTCTATTGTATAATATATACAATTCACTGTTCTTCGCAGTTTTAATGTAATACCGTTATATTTTACAATGTAACACGTTCCTTGCACGTAGCAAACGAATTTTTGCTGTTGCTTGCGCGGCAATCGCCGGTTTTCCGAGTTTCGAACCCGTGGAATGCGGACGCCGACCGTGTCCCGTGATAATGAGATATTCGTGGACCCGGTGAACATCGCCGGAACACAAGCCGGCCCGTGTAATTGGGGAAAACCCGGGAAAATCGAAGTGTGTTCTCGATGAACAACTTGTTTCCTTCCATAATCATTTTTGAGCGTGCTGCGCAACCTAACGCTACCAGCTAGTAACATACAAGCTTGTTATCAGAACACACCGGCTTGATATTACGAAAAAAACGATATTTTAAAAATACATACCTGATCAATTTCAATCTTAACACACGATCTAATTAAATTAATTGACAAATTTTAAGATACTTGATACAGAGTTTCTGTAAACCTTAAAAAAAATAGACCAACCGAGGTTGATACATTGATTTTATGTATTCTGTTACTACATTTCGTATATAATCATATAAACATCAATTTATAAGGTTTAACAATTTCTCGAGGATTTTTTAAGTATCGACAACTTTCGGCAAAGAAAGGTTAAATAGTACTCTGAAACATTAAATGTTATGGAAAACGAAAACTACGCATTAATCTCTTATTACTTAAATAGATCAACTGTTTCTTCGCAATACTGTATTCTAAATATGAAAATTCACCAAAACGAAGACATTCGTCTTCAAAAGGTTAACGAGGATTTTTCAAAGTGTCGAAAATGTTTCCCAAAGAAAGTTAAATTGTTCATTGAAATCTCAACCACCATAGAAAATGAACACTACGCATTAATCTCATATTACTCGAACAGATTAACTGTTGTTTCACATTATCGTATTCTAAATATGAAAATTCACCAAAACGAAGACATTCGTCCTCAAAGGGTAAACCGTATCGTCCAACGCGAGAAAAATCGCCTGTAATACCGTAACAAAATGAAAGCTGCCCGAAATTACAATGAAAACGTTGATGACGTTCAAAGAGCGTATAACAAAGGCGGACACCGTGTCGTGTTTTTCGAGCTCCAGCTAAGAGACAAAGCGGACCTCTGGCAAAGCAGTAGATGGCAGGACACTGCTGGTCAGAGAGGAAAAACAACTGCGGACCGGATACTTGAAACGAAACAACGGGGCGACGAGGGGCTGCGGAGAGAACCGCGGCAGCCCCCGGTTGATCGACGATTTGCATAGACAAATAAGTTCGGGTCCTGATGAGCCGCGTCGCCGGTATTTACCTAGCAGTCGAATAATCGTTTTCGGAGCGATTTCGAACTACGTGTTGAAATGTGCAAGTGCAAACACGCCGGGGCCCCGAGTGCCTTTCGAATTCATTTACGCTCAATTCGCGCCCGACAGTGTCGATTTCCAGTGGGCGACGGGCTTCAGATGGTGGACCGGCCGCGCCGGAATTCCCCTGTCTACACGGCGACCTGTAATGGCGAAGTTTGCGACCAGTTTTGAGCACTCGCCACGCAAATGGCTTGTCGAGGGTCGGACATGTGTCTTCGGTTAATTAAATTTCTTACAAGGTACTAGAGTATATTTGGAGACGTTTAGAGCTTAGAGGATCGTCTATCTTTGTGTACTTTTTCTGGTGTATCTGTTGGGGATATGATATTGGAAATATGACTGTTACGGAATTGGTGACAAGAGATAGCATTTTTTGTTTTATGATTGTTGTAGGTTAGTCTGATAAGTGATGCTTAGATGTAGAATTGATATGAACTTCACTTTGAGGCTCTAGGCCTAGGTTTGGATGGAGGTTTAATGATTACTTAGATTTAGATTTGGACAGTGAGGAGCTAACTTTGTAGATTCCTTAAACCTAGGTTTAGACCGAGCTTTACTGATTACTTAGACCTAAATTTAGACATTGCCTAGACCTAACTTTGTAGATTCTTTAGACCTAGGTTCACACCTAGCTTTACTGATTACCTAGACCTAGATCTGAACATTACCTGGATCAAACTTTTGAAATTGCGTAGACCTAACTTTGAAGATCACCTACACCTAATTATAAAGAATCTTTACACTTAAACTTAGACCTAGATGTAGACATTGCCTGGACTCAACTTTAAACGTTGTCTAGACCAAGCTTTAGACATTGCCTACACCCAACTTTGAAGATTATCTGCATCTAACTATAAAGAATCCTAACACTCAAACTTAGACCCAACTTCAGAAATTACCCAGTCTTAACCTCAAACCCACCTTTAACGCCCAAACTTGCCCTTATCTTACCAGATCTCCATAACCCACAAAACAAACCACCCAAAACGATGCACGAACCAGAAACAGTAACCGCAAAAATTCTTCAGAAATTGAAGTAAAACATCTCCATCCCTTAATCTTACAATATCATCACTCGCCCTCGTCACGTCCCTAATCGCATCCGTCTCGCGAGCAACGAAATTTAACGTCACCTCGGACCAGACCCTATCCAGAACGGCTCCTATAATTTCCACCGTGCTGTCCTGTCTATGGAAGCTCACGGGACGGTGGTTCGTCCGTCGGCCAGGCATTGTCGGCCGTGTAACGAGGGACAATTTTTGCGGGGCTGAACAATATGTCGCATTAGCGTATTGTGCCCTGCGGGGGTGGGCCGTTCCGCGGCGCGCTCGTTCTGTCATGCGACACGACGATATCGTAATCGATGCTGGCCCGATTTCCATTTCCCGCGGACGCCGGCCGGGGCGCAGGGCGGCGGGGGTGGAAATGCAGACGCCGAGGATCCACGGTGTGCACTTTTGCCCCGGACCGGAGTCATTATCGTGGCAAG